ATATGTTTAACAAATTGTAATGTATCTTTCTACTTAATTATTTTACATTACGAATAAAAATTAACTATATTAATCCTTTTACAAAATTGTAAAACAACGGAAATAAGCAACTAGAGTTTTGTGTGCAATGAACCCATAAAAATAAACATGCTAAGATAAATTATTTTGGATTTTAACTTTTGGTTCAAATGATTCAGTCGTGTTCTTTGATGCTGCAAACTCACGTATAACCCAGTGAAGTGGTAAATATGAGGTTCACAAACACAACAACGCTTCCCTACCATCTCCCTAGCGGCTTCATAGTTAATATATCTTTTATCGTACTCCACTGAACAAGTTTATGATGTTTTTCTAGCTTTATATTGAGAACACGCTATTAAACACCGTTGAAACCCTTTGAAAATAAAAAGACTTTAAAACTCTTTGTTATTTTCTTGCAAAAAGAACGTATTCTATTCTAATTTATATGGGTCATTTATTTAAATAAACGATAATTATATAGGTAAATATGTACAAAAATATATTCATAGGCAGTATTAAAGAAATTATTTTTTAATCATATTACAAAAGTATTAAAGGCTATACTAAATATTGAAAACAGTTTTGAAATATATAAAATCATATATAACTAAAAGAAAATATGACTCTCTTTATGAAAATATGATTCACTTTGTTTGCAGTTGGTTTTGCTTTTCAATATGTAAGGTGTGTTTGAGAATCTACAAGAAACGTTTGGGCTATTTGATTATTGCTGATTGTGTGTTTTATATTAATACAAAACCTAAGTAGGCCGTTGGTAAAATATAATTTGTTATATCAATTAAAATAATTAACATGTTTCTTTGAGGTTTTCTCGAGTTTGAGAAAAAAATCTATATAATATGTAAAAAAAAAATTAAGATTAAAGCGATATTTTCATAGATTTGTTTCAAATCTGATCGAATAGCTTAATTTTAAATTTAACATAAATTGTAAATATTTTTGAATGATTATTTAAAGTTATATGAATTATTTAAATGACAAACTGATTAAAAAATCATTGAAATTTTGACCAAAATTGTCCTAAATTTTTAATAAGAAAGACATATCGAGCCAAACTTGTACATCGGAGAATTTCTTTATTATTTAATTTTTTTTTCATTGTTTTACAGCTAAAATACATTTTTTATCTAATGCATTACAATATTCTCATCTCGAGCTTTCAGGAAAAGAGGGTTAACGTAAATACTGTGCTTTTACTTGTATATATAAATACCTACCTAAAACTACAAAATAACGCAGCAAATAATTTTCCCGAGTTCGAAGTTTGCAGTAACAAATCGTTTGTTCTGATGGTCAAGCAACAAACCATAGTGTTCATGATTGTTCGATATTAGCTTTGCCGTTAACTTTATGTCACCACCTGCAAAGCCCTGTTGTTTGTAATATTCTACTGTCGTTCCCAGCAATAATAAATGGTGTTGAATTTAGTATAGTTTTAATATTCAATAACATCTTTGAAATTGTGTTACAATTTTCCCAATTTTTATTTCACAAAATTGTACTTTTCTGTTTGTAGTGATAATAAGGTACTCGTACTGTATGGACTTTTTTAAACAATAGTTATTACTTTACAAAATATAGGAGTGTAGTCTACTGCAAGCTCGATGGTGGAGCGAGCTGTTCTAGTGGTAGATTGATGGAATTAGGTTCCTAAAGTCCCGGGTTCAAATCCTGCCAAATAACCAATGGAATTTATTGAAGGGATAGTGCCACAACCCCTAGGGTATAAGCAAAATTGATTTACTTTTAATTTTTTTTACTCATGCATACAAATATTCTCTTGCAAGATTTTGACACATTTTAATTTATTTTAACGTATTTTTTTGTACCAATACACGTATTAATACATATATTTCAGTGATGCCTCAATAATGTAATATTATGGTCAATAAAGTATCAACCTAATTTCAAATTAAGTTGGTGTATCATACGTTTAATTGTAATATTGAAAAATAGGTTTTTTGTAACCAAAACATAAATAGCTTTAGGGCGAATAGTTTATATTATTTTAAATAGTAGTTACCATCACTAGGAGCGAAAGAGACAATTTTGGATTGGCAATCGTGTTTTACAAGCGAGGCTCTGTCGAGTTTGGAAATACGATTAAGTACCAACAATACACTTTCAATTTGTGTAATGAGCACCTATTTTCATCATACTGTGGAAATAGCCATATAATTGTTCAACAATAGACCACATAATATGAAATTAAACAAGGATGTCATCAGTGTTTACATTTCTGTTTTGTATAAACATTACTTTAAATATCGTGTGATCGGTAGCATTTTCATAATGCACTGCTAAATCAGGTTAGCGCAGAAAACGATGAAGTTGCGGACGATTTAAAGAACTAAAAACGGATGCTTTCCTGATACTATGATGAAAAGTAATTTGTAAACTCGTTTAAGGAAACCCGAACTGTGCGAGTTTTCCGATAGGTAAAGCCAACAAGAGTTATATCAAGAGTGCAAATACCAGCTGGAGAAGTAACTTGCCCATGTTGCCGTGGATTTCGTCTTATTCGGATTGGAAAAGTTAAATTGAGGATCCGACCGGAATGTTTTCATACGTTTGCTTTTGACAGTTTGATTATTCAAACATGCTGTTTGCTGTTAGTTCTTTACCCTTGCAAACTTTTTTCGTTTATGCATTTTCTAAAATTTAACGTGTATATAATGTTTTGGCTCGAATCGTAGTTCAACCATAGTGTTGGTTATTAAGCGGTTCAAGCATTTGTGTGATAAATAGCTTATAGGTAAACGTAAACGTAAAATTATTAAATGTCAAAGAAAACTTCAAACTGGGTTCCAAATCTGGGTTTTGATGATTAAATCAATAAGTTACTGTTTTGAGGAGTTGTTGAATGCTTTAATTGATGCCTTAAAGGTCTACAATGACGGTCTAACATCTTATGTGCTAGTTTAAATGGTTTAAAATATTGTTTGGTTTTAATAATATATGTGATTAAATATACCGTGAAAAAAGGCTGTTTATATATCTTTATCTATCATCGTACGATTTAAAGAGAAGAAAAACAATTCTCATAGGATGAAATTATTATAATTCGCCTGCGGGCACTCAATAATATAACGAAAATACCCCATATAATATTTTGACCTAGACCCATTTTGCAGACCTATATTAATAAAACGCCCCGCAAGTAGACTTTGGGCCAGCACAGCCCCTTTCATGTAAGCCATATAATATAAATGAAGCTTGAAAGACCGTCGCCACAAAGAACTATTCTTTTGTTGGATAAAGGACACTCATAATACTTTAAATGTTGTTCTTTGTTGCTGTGTGACTGAGATTCAGCTCTGTCAGAATTATACATACTGAATGCAATGCTGTCAAGCAAAAACTTTATCTAAGAATGTAGAATGGATCAGAATATTTCATGAAGTGTTTCTATAGTTAGGCCTACCTACGTAAATTTTATATGATTAGTTTTTATTATTACGTTTAGTCAAACAGGATTCAAGCCAGATAAATAAAGATTAGCTTAAGTTTACGGCATCAGGTGAAATTAACAGTTTATTCATCAATAACTTTATTTGTGATACCTGAGACTAAAATATTTAATTGGAAAATTACGAAAACTCAACTAAGGTTATTGATAATATGGATTGTTCACTAGACGAATAAATTTCCTATCGAACCACAGGGAAACAGATGGGACCAACTTAAACATTAATTGTTTTAGGACGTATTTAATAAACTAAATATTCAGGTCACTTCCGTGTTATTAGAAAACAAATTATACTTGTTCAACCTTACTTATCCAAATATTTAATTCCCTTTTATTTCAGTTATCTTTAACCCTAGAATTGGTATGCATCAAGCTATAAACCAGTCAACTAAATAAATTAGTTTCAGAATCCCAGATTTGTAAAACAGTAACTGTACAAACAATATTTTTATTGTTACATTCATAGTACTACCGTTTGGCCTTTTATTATTGTGGAAAATAATCATGCCAAAACAATCAACATTAAAATGTTGTTTAACAGAGTATTTAAATACCCCGATTATGTTCAAGCTTAATTAAGTTTTAAGAACAGTCAAAAGACACTTTTAATGATACAATTTGGAATATTTGTGCTCTAGTCACTCTGAAATATGATATTTATATAAGTATTTTATAAAGAATAATTAAATATACGCCGAATAAATAAATGAATCATTGTTAGTTTTATAAAGGCTTTAAAACAATTAATTATAAACGATTTTATTGAACAGGTGTATTGTGTTATAGTTGGAATTCAATTTTTAACGAAGGTTTTAAAAGTGATTGTCTTCTATTCAAGCTAATTAAAAAAGTCCTAAAATAATGCCATATTTCAAATGCTATCATGAATAATGCAAGCATTTTTCTGAAAATTGGACTCATGTATATTTGCCAAACTACAAAATAATTTAGATATAGAAAAAGGATGATTAATAATAATAATTATATTAATAAAAAAAAACATGTAAGGAAACTTTTTTCATCTTATTCATCTAATTTTTATTACTAACACCGTTTTAAACACCTGAAATCTCTTTAGATTATTTCTGAAAAATCCCTTTCATAAAATGACAATAGTCTTCTGCAGAGAGCTATAACGTTATTTCCCCCATCAAAGCTTAGCTCAAATGTCGCCTTAATATAACACATTTGTTAACTTCACAACAATGGAATATAACACTAATGGCTTCCATTGTAATGTTTCGTTTAATGCTTGCTTCTGATGGGCCTTGGCTTTTGTACTGTGAGCAAATATTTCCCTCGTGGGTTTAAGAAATATAATGTTTTCCTGGATGTTTTCCAAGTTCCTCGCTATAGTCTGATGTTGATGTGAAGTTGATTGAGAATCTAAGGAAATTTAAAATCAGATTTTGACCTTTATGTACTTTTTACGAAATTGTTTTTTAATTAGTGTGGTTAGTTGATGACTAAAAGAACTGTCTGTTTTCAGGATAAGGAAGATGAAGAGACTACTAATATACGATGTAATGCGGACAAATTTGCATTCAAACTGAAATATCAATTTGGTAATGATGTAGTGGAAAGAATATGACTCATATCAAGAATGGTCAATATTAATAATTTATGGCCAAACATATCAAACGGATCTCCATGATAGAAGAAGAGCTTATGGCGTGGGCTCTTCTGCTGCTTTTCTTCGTACACCAAGGTAATTATGAAAATATATTTAATTTTTTTTTACATCTTTCTCATATACAGAGTGTTTGAAAATGTTGGGAACATAATGTATCTAGTGTTTCCTCGGGTCAACATAAGAAAAATATGTTATTTAAACAAATCCCCTGTTTTGTTTCGTTTAGCCCCCCCCCCCCCCGTTGTATGTAGTTTTTTTACTTTATTCGTAGGTCCTCAACGGTTTGAGCTACTTCGTTGAGAATCTACAAAATGGCCATCTTATTAGACGCTGCGTTCTATTATACATTTGTGGAAATTTTGATTAAAAATTAAACAGGAAAATATTTTTGAAATTTTTGTTATTTGAAATAATTCTTGCTAAATCCCTCGATCATCGTTACTATTATAAGATGAATCATAAAATAAATTTACAAATTTTAAATTTCTTTATAATATATTTTATTAAGCATAGTTGGGACTAACAATAACACTGTTAGATTAATTTCTTTCTTGGTACACCTACATTTCCCCAACAACGCCTACAATGTAAAAAAAAACTAAAAAAATCTCATACTTACATTCAGACGGATTCTGAACGAAACAAGATAGAAAATATTATGTTTGGATATTTCTTTTGGTTATTTGACCTACCCAAACATGCAGGTCCTAGCAATATTAGGATTACTATGTAAATTATGTCCCCACCATTTTTGAACACACTATAAACAATTTAACACAATAATTTATTATATTTAATGAGACAAAACCTTATTCATATTTGTAATGGAGGTAATGTCACCATTTGCCAACTCTGTAGAGATAAGCACCATGGAGTCGGACATGGAGTTATAGGCTGAATTAGTCTCAGCAAACTGTCTCCGATTAATACAGTCTCTAACCAACTTGAATTTATATCTCGTACCTGAATTGGCAATTCAGTAGTATTAAGGATCTTAACTTAAGATAATGTAACGACTTTTTATCAAAGATCCTTCTTCGCAACTCTGTTTCCAAAATGTTATTAGGATTAATATTAACATTAAGATACATTGGTAAATAATGTTAAAAAACTATGTGCAATTATTGTAAGGATTGTTAGTGTCAATAGTTTATATTTCAAACTATAAAGGTAGGTATTTAGCTAAACCTAAAAATGGTTCCAAGAACACATAAAGAGAACATAAAGAATTATAGTTTTTTTCCAAAATCGTTTCGTTGATATCCACAATTTTGTAATTTGTATGTACACAATTTTATCTTTGGATTATTCTAACCATAATTCCTGAAATGTTATTTGTATGTTGAATTAGAAGATATTTATAATCTATTAGATAACTAGCTTAGTTCAATTCAACATTTTTGAATAACAGCAAGTATAGATTACAAAATTAAAACTAGTTGTTAATTAAACGAATTGTTGAATTATGAAAATACTGCTGGTTGACCTTAGTTTAGGATTTTTGATTTTCTATCAGATGCAATCAAGATGAAAAAGGATGACAAATAGCTGAAACGATTTTTAGTTTAACGATCATGTAAAGTAAGTAGCAACCTTACTAACTTAGCCTTACCTTTTTTTACATCTAAGACTCCTGATGTTTCAGCAATTTTGTATTTTATATAATCTAAATGGTTGATGTCAAGTAGTATAATATATTTTAGCCTTTGTAACACTGGCAACACATTTCCCTACTTAATTTGATGTTAAATAATGACCTCCCATCCCAATGCTAAATCTGAGCTGGAGAGCTAAACTACTCAATATAGCCTTGTCAGTGTTCTTGGAAGTGAAAGCTAAGGGCTAATCTCCGGTCACGTGATTCATCATCAAGAACCACATATGTGTGTATGCAAACACATGTGCCATATCCAACAGCCAAAGCAATTAAGCAGCTCATATCAACCTCAATATCGGATCAGTAATCAGGAAACCATCCTTGGAGGCATCGCTAGAAATAGGGTTACTAACACTTAATTAACACTTAACACTTAATCATCATTAAATAAATTAAGAGTGGAGAAATTTTCGAAACATGATTTTAAAGAAACCTCCACTAAGCTGGAGAGTGCCAGAAGCCACGAAATAAGAATCTTCTTCTGACAGTTTCACGCATGTGTCATACCCAATTAGATTCTAATCAGTACATATTATAATGCAGAAATAATTCGCACAAGGACAGAGTATTTTGAAATAAAGATGAACAAGGGTAGTAACAATAACGAGTCTCTACGTTAACTTTCCGTTGAGAACAATACAGTTTATTTAAAACTCAAAGTCTCTTGCATCATTTAGTGACGTTTAAAGGTGTAAGATCTCCCTAAGGCACCTACTTTAAAATACGTTGATCATTTCCTTGATGAATAAATACTTTTTTTTAAAAGGGACAATCTTGTATCCAAGCATAAGCAGGATGTATTCATATTGTGCCTCCAGGATTGATTAAATAAATAAATAAGGTTACTGAAATTTCGACAATCTACCCTATTGATCCTAGTTGATTACTAGTTTCGGGGTGTCAACGCCAATTTCAAATCCTTATTTAACTTCTTGAACATGAAACATGAATTCGTTTGACGAGAATAAATCCAAATAAGGATTTGAAAATGGGGTTCAAAACCCCAAAACTAGTAATAATAGGATTGATTGACGACAGGCTAATAACCTTATTTATGCATAAGCAGATGGTTACCCAAAATTCATACTTTTCCAGAAACCAATGATTTCCATACAAAAGGTGACAAAATAATGATTTTTCTCATTTTCAGGGGCAGATGGGTCTCGTAGATTCAGAACAGACTTCCTACAAGACCTTCCCACCCCTGGAACAGGTCCATCCTTTGATACTTCCATCCCTAGCAACCTAACAGGTCTGGTGGGGAAAACCGCTTATCTCAACTGTCGAGTGAGGAATCTAGGCAACAGAACGGTACGTAGTACGTAAAATGCTCTTACTGTAGTGTGGAAATGGTATAATACGTGTAAGTTTAACAGGGGCGGTGACGATCAGTGTTTAAATTGCAGGAATATAAAACTGGAGATCTTATTGGAGTAATTAACTCTTTAACATTTTTGGCACCACAAACAGAGGGAGCAATTTGGCACTCAACAACTTGTACAAAGTTTTACTGGGTCTTCTACTACTACTCTCCTTGTGGACCTTTCATTTTATTAAAAAAAAGGTAATTGTATTAATTAACAGCTTTCAAAATAAAATTAATAATATAAGTAAGAGCAAAGTCAAGAATGAAGTTACAGCTGAAAATATAAGAGTATATAAATAATATTTATTCCACATTGATTGATTTTTTTACGATTATACTGTAAACGCAAACTCTACTAAACAATTGAACATAAAACGTATTCGGTAGAGATAGTTTTGTACTAGATATATCCGGTATCATAGTAAATTGGCTATCCCGGGTCATAATCCTAGTCTCCGGTTGGGCCTGGTTACTTTTTTCAATATTGAAATCGATTACAAGCAAAACAATTTCATATTTATTAAACGCCTTGTAATATTTTACGTCATAGGTATTTTAAATCAAATAGAGTTAGGTGTAGTACATAGTACAATTCTACTTTCGTAAATTAGTACTAAAACGTTCAAAAGCTGATAAAAAAATAAATGCTAGAATTCAAAACTAATCCGTCACAACGAAAAAACCTTGTTTCTCTTCATGATTCCACCATAAAAATAAAAAAAATTCTCCAATGTAAGCAATAAAGTTAAGTGGCAACAGTGTGACGAGAGGCAGCCAAACATGCAATAAACCCTTGCTAACCTCTTATAATCTCTTTGTAATGGACTAAAAATCCACCCTTGCGTATTTTGTGTTTTAGGTTTGAAACACTTTGACGAGAAGTTTACAAACACCTCACTTTATTTTAATTCTTTATTTATACTAATCCACTTTAATTACATTTTTCAACTATAAACGCCTTTTTTAACTGCAAAATGATCAAGCCATGAAGTGCTTAGTATAATTCATTTTGTGATAGTTTAATCTTCCAAATATAAGAAAACGAAACAAGTTATTTACTTTTTTAATTTATTGTGTGTTACGCTAAACAAGTTTTGTGAGTTTTTTATCGGACGATAATATTGCAATACTGTCTTTGAGTGATATCAGAGAGGTAAATTAACTAGCAGTTGACCGCGTATTTCGCTTTCGATTGCTCTTGAAGACTTGCGTAGGATAAAGTAATTATGTATTTCGTTATTTGAGCTATTTTTAACATCATGTGTAGGAAGGTAAATACCGGTTGAAATATTACCTTTACCCCAAAATCCTACGCACTTGACTGCTTGGAAAAAATATTTAATCTACTGAAAATTGGAGTACATATTCAATGGATATAAAATATATCAACGTAAATATGATTGCACTAAAAGCCATGTTAGTTGGACTTAAAATAAAAACTATTGTAGTTATTTCAAATGTTATGCTACCAACCTTTTCCCGTTGGCAGGTATCATGGGTTCGACACAGGGATATTCATCTACTGACGGTTGGTAGATACACCTACACTAGTGATCAAAGGTATTTAGAAATATTTCAAGTATTTTTTGTTTGTATTATTTAAGAATAAAAACGTATAGTTTAATTTTCATGGATATGACTATATACTTTACAGTTCATCATGTAAAACATAATGCGTAGAAGGTCTACGACCCATACTGTTGTTCTATCAAATGATAACAAAACAATTATTAAAATAAGAAAAGACTATAAAATAATAAAAAAGATAGTTATACTTACGTCAATTTTATACAGTATAACCGTCTATTTATGTTATCATATAGCTGGTTATGATATTCTGGATATTGCTATAATCCATTATCCATGTACAGTAATTTGCCAATTAGGTAATTTAAGTGTTAGTCTATTTTTTATTTGTTTTAAACTAGCCTTAATAAGCCATCAGCACAGACGACTCCATCAAGGTATTTACATTTAATTGAGTATAAGATATAAATGGTACAAATGCAGTCGTCAAACTTTTTCTAACATGGACAAGCTATGCTTACATCAGAGTGCAAGCTTATTTCATCATGTTTGAGTTTACATTTTAATAAGTAAGCATGAACTATAGGGGTATTGTTGTTTCATGTAGGTTTGAGGCAGTCCATTCCCCACACACGGAAGATTGGACGCTAAGGATAAGATATCCTCAGAAGAAGGACACGGGTATATACGAGTGTCAGATCAGTACTACTCCTCCTATAGGACATCCAGTCTACCTAAATGTTGTTGGTAAGTGTCCTTTCTTTCTTGTTAATGGTATTTTCTGTGCCATTACTATCGTTACAATTTCCGTTGTCTTCTGTAGTCTAGGAAATATGCTCAACTTGATCAATTATTCTGGAAAACGATAAAGTCAAGTCAGACATTTTCAACATAAATATAAATTACATAAGGAAATATCTTGCTAAATACTTATCCCTTTCCGACCTCCAGCATAGGTGGCATTTTTTTTAAGTTGAGCTTGCCAATCTTGTTTAACCTTAAAAGAGTACTTGAAAAGAATGAACTGATGAAGAGAATGAAGAATGAACTGATGAGAATGAAGAATGAACTGATGAAGATTATGGAGAATAAACTGATGAAGAGAATTAAGAATGAACTGATGAAGAGAAGGAAGAATGAACTGATGAGAATGAATAATGAACTGTTGAGAATAAAGAATGAACTGATGAGAATGAAGAATGAACTGATGAAGAGAAGGAAGAATGAACTGATGAAGAGAATGGAGAATAAACTAATGAAGAGAATGAAGAATGAACTGATGAGAATGAAGAATGAACTGTTGAAAATAAAGAATGAACTGATGAGAATGAAGAATGAACTGATGAAGGGAACGAAGAATGAACTGATGAAGAGAACGAAGAATGAACTTATGAAGAGAACGAAGAATGAACTGATGAATAGAAGAAAGAATGAACTGATGAATGAACTGACCAAAGACGCAAACATAAAGCAACGCTGTCGTAGTTCCAATGTTCATTAAACTAAAATCTAAGCCTCCGATTCACCATGACTTAATATCTTAAATGAGCTTTCATGAAATGGCCACGAATTAATTTCAGGTTTGGGAACATAAAAACCCACCATGATGGGGATTTTTTTTATCACGTCACCTGCGAGGACAAACACATCTCACTTGTTATTGTAGTCATGATCTACATCTAAATCAACTTGCTTCGGATATTCTTTCCAATTGGACTAGAACCTATATAGTTTTTTACGTAAGGACCTACAAACAATTACAGTAAGAAACCACATACATTACATGGGAACTTAATTTAATTGCGAAAAAGTTTTGTAGTGTTCTTAAAATAATGCCAAAGGCAGGTCAAAATAAATTTGGGCTTTTGTTGATTGTGTCAGAATAACATGTCATGTCAAGGTGTGAATAAATGTTATTCATTTGAACAATTTGATTGTCAAATGCTTCTTTTTTATCCAGAACCTATCACCAACATTCTGGGAGGGCCAGAACTTTTCATCAACAAAGGCAGCACCATCAACCTGACCTGCCTTGTGGAGTTTGCTCCTGAACCACCTCCCATCATGCTGTGGAGCCATAACCGTGAGGTAAACAATGATAATACTTACAAAAACTAACATGCTATGTATTGAAGTATATTCTTTGTACTTTTGGTAACATGAACTGTTTTAAGTTAAGATTTTCAGAGTGAGTAAGTCATTGACGAACAGTTTGCCTGGTACTAAATAAAGGTCAGCAATTTCACATAGGCTACCATTGGTTGTTTAAACTGTTTTTTATCACTCTGTAAATGAAAACATACTTAAGAAAAAAATTAATTGATGATGTCCCCATTGTTTCATATTTTTCAGCCTTTGGAATACATTTATTTTTACAACTTAGGCTTCTTTCTACTATTGGACGATAAATAAGTGAACTTTCTTAAAAGAGTATTAATATTTTTAAATAATACAAACAAATTACACCAAAAATGATTAAAAAACCTCCCTAATACATAAGATTAGATTCTTGTGGTGGTACATAGAAAAACATCATACTTTAAGATAAATAACTGTACACTTCCAAAACGAAGGTTAGTCTATAACCTACTTTACCAACAATAAATATAAGTTTTAATATGAATTATATTTTTCTTCGAATTGTTTACATTTTTCAGCCAATAAACTTTGACTCGCCACGTGGAGGGGTGAGTCTCGTCACAGAGAAGGGGGTGGTCACCAACAGCAGATTGTTGATACAGAACGCTGTACACACAGACAACGGAGTGTACACATGCGACCCGTCCAACGCCAACTCGGCTAGCATACGGGTGCACATACTCAACGGTACGAGATATCACTTAGATATGAGTGGAGATATTTAGAAATTGGAATACACCTTACATAAGGGCATATTTACTAAACGGTAATATCCATCACTTAAATAAATGACGATATGACTTAGATTCGTACTTTTTCACCTGAGGACGGGATCAGGTCCCTCCCAGAAGAAGTTGGATATATCCTTCAGAGAGATGTTAACCCATACACGTATATTTTTATAGTTAACAAGGTACTGCAATACTGCTGTACTGTCAATGATCTTTTCTTAGTCTAGCGACCAAGGTTTTGGACCTAAAGGTTTTTTTCCCAGCTGTCTATTAAGTATTGAAAAATCCCGGAGGTAGTAAAGAGTTTATCAAATATAATTAACATATACACGAACACAACAGCATTTAACACACATATGGCCAAATCTAATACTGAAAAGCGGTTGAGTGTCAAGAGCATATTTGAACATAATTTTTAACTATACTACGTGGTAAATTGGGTGCTATTTTCCTTTGTTGGCATAATTTGTATTTACCAATAACTTATAAGTTGTGCTACTCGATATCTGCATAGTTCTAAAACAAAACTATCTTAATTGTACATGTTTTGCATGATTCAAACTACTCTTACTTGGTTACTCTATGCTTACAATATGTTTAAAAATTAAGCTTAACATTGCTGCTTTGCCCTCAGGAGAGCACCCAGCAGCCATGTACCATGGAGCCTCTAGTCCACTAAGACCTCCCTTACTCTACGCCCTCGTCTGCACTCTCCTACTGCAGATGGTTATATAGCAGAAGTTGTGCCGGGTAACCTGAACCTCGGCACTTTGTGACTGACAGACGTTCTAGATTTTACATTTCAAAATTCGTAACCGGACCTAACCCGCTTTCAAAAATATCGCCGTCAATGACTGACGATTAAATAAGTTTTTGAAACCCACGTAAACGTGACTAGTGTGAAATGGGAAGGTTTTGAAGTGCTTTCAAGAGTGTACAGCTTTCGAAGACACAAATAAAGTAATAGATTCTGCAAAGGTGGAGGAAATGTAATATTTTCCAGGAACATTTGAAGTGTTGTTAAGTTTGTAAACGCTGTGAAGTGTGCAAAGTGAAGTGGTATGAACAGGTTTCTGACCAAGCTGCAATAAATGCTCAAGCAAACGAAGAATCCCTAATATTTGTACTTGTTATTGATGAAAGACTGAAAAGGATGATACTTAAACTGAAAGTTACCGTTAATAGATGTGCAATTTATCGTTTAACGAATAAAAGTATTTGAAATAAAACGATATGTTTATATATTTGTAAGTATCGCTATGCTAAAGTGATTTGTTAAGTTGTTTTCATGAAGTTACCTAGGTAAATAAAGCTATAAAATAGCATAACTTCAACGAATTAAGAATAATTTAACCACAACAATTTTATCGGGATCACTTTTGTTCAAACAGATTAGTTTTTTGAAAAACAGTTTAACGCCTTTATGCTATACATTTAATATTTGCTAGTTTATTCATTTACTGTTCGCAAATATTCTTTGGATTAATTTGGAAAACAATTATGCAATTTTTAACGAATCGAAATTTCGATAAAATAATTAAAAAATTATTTCTATTCAATTGAACGTGAAAAGCAAATTCCACGGATATATTTCAATTAGACGAGGTGTGTTAATTGAATATGATGCTATTTGGTTAAGTGGATAATGGACCAATTTGATCATATTAAAATATATTACGCCCTTATTAATGGGTTTAAATACAGGCATACCTGAACCATCATATCTATAGACTGTATTAACACGTTTTATAACGGTGGTTTTGACTCTGAAATTTTCAATTGTTTTTGCATATGGCTGTAATAACATAATTTGTAACTTTTGTGTTATGTCTTCAATTTTTACATATCTGTCGATGGGTTTTAACCTAAACAATGTATTATATACTGAGAATTGAAAACTATCAATAAATACAACATGTTTGCATTAAAACTATTTAGTTTACAACTATGAAAATAAATAACAATTTATAAATGTACTTCATGATAAGAATTAAATAACCATTTGATTACTTTTATTAATGGCCTTTATATTAAACTAAATTTTAAATACAAATAAATGGTCCAAATTGTTGAAATAATTATATGTAACATATTGTTAGTTCATATTTTTTTAAATACTTTATGACCTAATGTTAACATTAAAAGAAAGTTTCAGCATCAATTACTAAAAATTTTAAAGATTTAATATGTATAACCTTCTTATAAAACAATATTACAAAAAAAATTAAATCTGTTTACGCTCTTCCAAGAGGTAACAGTCTAACGTTCAAAAAAGCCTATTGGTGATTTTCGGGATTTTAACCCGGAACCTTGAGGACCAATGTCTTGCTCTACTAGATAAACAGGCTCGGTTCTGACTATTACAAAAAATTATAAGCCGTCAATGTGATAAATCACTGACATATGAACGTAAAACATCAATAAACAATATTATTATTATTTCCTTTTATCTTAAAAGCTATTTTGTAATTCATAAAATGTAATAATTTTCATACTTAAGTTCATGAAGAGACACGAATTAACTTATGGCTTCTTGAAAAAAAAAATGGTTTAAATAATATTATTGAAAAGACATATTTTAATTGAGTTACATTTTGTTACATGGTACAGTAATATAAAAAACTAATAAGGGATTGAATTATTGTTAAAAATCTTATTATTACCGGACGGTAACTGACCACTTAGTGCTGCATGAATGTACATACGACATTGTAAATCCATATGTGTTAATCAAATAATTTGTTATAATAGTTAAGGAAGTAAATAATAGGGTGCTTGCATATTTTTTGGTAAAGAAGAGATGGTCTTTATATTGCAATTGTATTGAGCTAAAATTTAAATAAATCTTATATTTAAATTTGGACATTTTTATTATTCGTTCCGAATTTTCCTGTATACGTTGGAAATAACATTATGAATATTCAATACTCCAGGTTGTATATTTTAACCTATGAATTTGAACATATGACTTAAATTAGAAAAAAATATTGCTTAATAACAATAGTTCAAGTAGCTATATTATTTTTCTATAAGTGAGTCAAAGTTTATGAAGTGGTGATGTTATTTGGAAAAATCTAAAGAACAATACATGCCTTGTACTTGGTATAGTTTTTTATATAATATCCAATGTAATATTTTTTGTTTAGCAATGTAATAATTGTTCAACTATGCCCCTTTAAAAAGATAAACCTAAAGCTCCTTAGAACTTTAGGTCATTGAAGTGTTGTGTCTCTATGCAATATCTATACCAGCTAATTATCAACGATGCCTACTTGCTGAAAAACAATCATTAACTGTGCCGTTCATAGTTCGAAGCTCTATTTCAAAATTGTATAAAAAGGTCTATAATTTCAAATTTTAATTAAAATACAAGTTAAACCAACGTCAGTAATTTTCTAGTTATCCGAGTGGTTGAAAGGTTCACCTTAAATCCGAAGGTCACTATTCGATTCAGAACGAGATAGTTTCTAGAATCAGATATCCTTTTTGTCATTTTGCTACAAGTTATTGATTCAAAAAGAAAACAGTATTGAGGATCGTGTTCTGTTATACTACTAAAATGTGCCATCTAACAATATATTAAGTTCACATAAGGCAATAAAAATATGAGCAGATAGGTATGCATTTCTATAGTGATTAATGTGAAATAAAAACTTATATTTACGAAACCAACTAAACTCCTTTGAAAATAGATTGAATTGAACATGTTCACGGTGTTTGCACAATTATATGTTCAGCTGCAGAAGCGTTCGCCACGAAATGTAGGACAACATAGGAGCTTTGTAGAGAGAAAACCAATTACACGTGGGACTAATCTTCATAGGTTCCAAAGTTGAATGTCAAAACCTTCTTCAATAAGCATGTCTTTTGTATACGTAAATTTATGAGAATTAGTCATTGAGAATTTACTATTCAATTTAATATGTTTTTTTCATTTAATATATCTATAAACAATATTTTACTCAGTAGGGAAATAAATTCCAAATCATAAATTAGGTACAGATTGTTTGGCAAAACGTATTGTATAATTTAATATGTTTTAAGTTATTTGTATTTTCTTCTTTGCGAAAAATGGGGCCTACCTGCTAGCTCAAAAACAGAAGAAGGTTTTCGACAGTTTTTCATAACTAAACATCTGATATAAAAGTTAAAACAATCAATACAAGTTTGTAAACACACATTTTGTCTAAATGTATATTACAAAATATCCCTCATAATACAAGAAAAAGAAGAAACCTTGAAATAAAAAACATATTACCGAAGTTTATTGTCCTTCAGAAAATCTACCAGAGTGTATGGATTTTTTTACTTGACTCATTTGTTTTATTTTTGCGATAATGTTTTGTAAGCAAACATACATTACATATATTACATACATACATTAATGTGCATTATGTACATACATTATGTATTTACATTATGTACATTAAATATGTGTATTGTACATTGTAAATATTCACTAATATTGTTGACGTAATTTACAGGAATAAATATTTCATTAATCGTTCAAGAAGAAAAATATGCAGACTAAATTCGTAATTTCCTCCTAATTTGTGTGTTTAATATTATTCCTGGTTGATAATAATATGCTAATGATATTGCTTATCATCCCAGCCACTCTGTTTTTGCATAATTACATGGCTCTATGTATATTTGAAATACATTATTCCATCCATAAAACGTTAATAGTAATGTAGATCGGATGGAAAGTTATAAACTGTGCTAGTAGACAAATTTGATTTATAGTTATTACTTAAAATTAATTTAAATTGTGTGGTTTTTCAAACGCCATGTTTTTATAAACACTTTTATGATAAACGGAAATTATTTCAGGACAAATTTATCTCCATTACATTCTTTTATTCCGAATTCAATCTTCCTTCTGTACAATTTATATTTCTTCACACAATGAAGGGTATTCTTATAAAATCTACTTATATTGGTATATTAAATTGTGTATTAATATGCCAAGAAAATAGACCCAAATCCCATTAGCAGCAAACATTAAACTAGACATCACAATGGAAGAGCTATACTCCATTGTTGAGTATCCATTGTTATTGTTTGATTTTCTTTATTTAAATGTATATGAACATCATTTACGAAGGAAAATATAACACATTTTAAATATGATACCATATATCGGAAAATATTTAATGAATTACGAAATTAAAACAGCAAATAGTATGAAGTAACTGAACTATACGAAATTATAGTTTTATCACAGTGCATTTTAAAATGCACTAAACTTTCAATAGTCACTTAATATGTTGTTGAAAGAACTATTATATAAATTTATAACACTCCCATTCGGCTAGTTTCAATCTAGTTTGGAAAAAAAACACTGTGATTGAAATACGGTGAACTATTTTAATTGCAGCCAAATTTTGTATAGCCAGAATAATTTAAATGGGTTCACATGAAAAAAGGTGCGGATATATAATTTATTTCGAAAAATAATTTATTATTAATTAATGAATGAACGTATTATGCTTTAACATTTAGGAAGAATAGTTTATTGATTGTATCACTATTTTTTGCATTGAACAGCTGATTACAGAGTAGCAAACATATTTTAATAAAGTGTCTGTGCTTAAACAAAACCTAAATGATAATAATAAATTTTTAAATAGTGTCAATCACAGTTATAAGTAATTAGGGGATTTAACACTAATACACATTAACTGTGAAATAATTTTAATTACTGCTGACAGTAATCAAGAGAGTAATTATGACCTCTTACGTAAAGCAATTCAGAGCTTTTAGTATACTGAATAGGCTTTATTCTTTAGAGAGGAAATATCTCTTTAAATTACAGGTTTAGTGTTTCACTAATTATAGAGGTAGAGAACAATTTATGAACAAAAGCTCAACTCGTCCGAGGATTTTTACATATTCACGTTCATGTGATGCAATTAATTTAATAAAATGTGTTGTTTATATAAGCTAATTTTAAATGCATTTTTTTTAAATTTTAAACTACAACAGCTGTTGATAAAAATACAGCATAAAGAAAAACAGGTGCTAAGAGAAGACAAAGTAATGAAATGGTATATTTTGTTTTACGTTTCTACCAAAATGGGCGTTTGAGAAAAAAAAACCCTGGTTTGCAAACACAATCATGTGTTCACGAACACACACATACAAACACACATACATACATAGTAGTATAAATATATAGAGTATATAGGGCATGTATACAATAAACTGATAGCTTTTTGGCTTCTGGGAACATCAAAATGGAAAATTATACCAGACCCAAGTCTAGGTCTTGCCGTTCTATATTTGGTAATAGTTTCTTCCTTTTTTTATTCACAAAATAATACAAAGTAATAAATAATGACAAACGGATATCTATTTTAACGCCGTTATTATTATCACTGTTTAAAACCATACACACTAAACGCGCATTGGTTAACAGATATTAGGTATGAAAAATACAGACGATAAATAAATTATCACAAGGTAACTACAACAAACCACCCATGAATAGTATATTAATAATTAGTCAATTCGAGACAACAGTAGTTCGTCACAGGTTACCAGCTGTAGAGTGACACAGAAAACAACAATGCTACAAACAGCTGACTGCCACTGCCGTCTGGATCTGAGTTTACAGTTGCGTTGGATTTCTAAATAACTATATTTCGCAATTCAATGAGTGACCTTACGTGTTTTGACATAACAATTCGTAATCTGTTTATTTCTTAGGATTTTTAATTACTAGACTACCTATATTATATTTTCAATTTTCTAGCAGTTATAAAAATGTATTTTATAACTAAATAAATGGAAAGAATTAGGTTATACAACAACTAGTTAATTTTACCTGCCATGTTTACAAGACTCACACGTTTACAACCTTATTTAATTCTATGAGTTGGACATAACTATGAACGAATTAACCTAATAATTATTGGAATTTAAAACTTTCTCTACCATTTTTGTTGACCAATCCAGATGCAAATAATGCATGAAATACTATACCAATAAATACATTAGCTAAGCAATTTAATTGTCAGCTATAGCTATCAAAATATATATCACAAAAGGAAAGAAAATGAACGGTATTAAA